AACTAAACTAAATCATTCTTTTTTTTCAAAGGCATTAATTACTTAATCCTAAATGAATTTATTTACCTTGTGTGAAGTTAAAATTATTATATTTGGACAAATAATATAATTCATTTTAATTTATTTTATATTTGATTTGGGATAAAACACTTTTACTGTATTTAATTTATTTTGGATTTGATTTGAAATTATTTATTTAAATTTTTATTACTTGATGATGTAATTAATTTTGTGAGAAATTGATTTATTAGAATTTATAGTGATAAATTAATAAATTAAAATTAATTTTCGGGTCATTTTGGGTCGACCCGCCGACCCGTCAACCCAAAATTTTCGAGTTCGTGTTAGATTTACTGACCCGTCACGGGTTGACGGGTCGGGTTCGAATTGGACCCGAATTGCCACCCCTAGTAGAAATCTTATGAATTTGATGCATGACTCGAATTTACTTACCGCCGATATATATATAGTAGGGAAAACTGCACCAATCGTCCCTCACATATCACAAATGTGAAAATTTAGTCCCTCAGAACAAAAATGATCAATTTTTATCCCTAACAAACAAAAAATGATCACCTTTAGTCATTTTTCACTTTTCCGGAACTCGTTGGGTCGACATGCAATGCCTAATTTTTAAGGGATAAAAGTGGCAAATCACTGTTGACCAATTATGCGAGGGACCAAGTGTGCAAAACTTTAGTTAAACATTCATAGAAAAAAAAACACAAAAACTAAGAAGAATATTTTTGGCTGCAAATTCAGGATAGTTGTCTTGGAGAAGAAGAACAACTTGTTTTGTAGCAACAGGAACTTCCTTCCTGGATGGCTCGGGTGAGTTCTTGGGATCATTGATCTGAAGCAAGGAATTGACACCGCCAGGCTTGAAATCAAGCTTTTGAATTCCCTTCTCCATAAGTTGGACTCTCCATCTCAAGAACTGAATGCGCTTCTCCTCAGTCCCAAATGTCTTCTTGTAGAGCTCCTCATCATCCAAAATCCAAAAATGTCACCGTGTAACTGTCAAATGCAAATCTGAAGGTTGCCCTTGGAGAATATATGCGGCCAGATTGGCTACCACCCAGCTCATCTGCATCAAGAAAATGAATGCCAAGCATAGTTGTGAAGGAACTTCGGTAAAAGCTGGTTATAGAGCAACAAGGGTGGAAATATCATCAAGGAAAAGTCGAAAGTTTCTCCAAATTACAAGCCTAAGGATATTGCCGTGGACATAAAGCGTGAGTATGGCATTTAGTTGAACTACTCGCAGGCATGGCATGCCAAGGAGATTGCCCGTGAGCAGCTTTAGGGATCTTATAAAGAGGCCTACTGCCAACTACCCTTCTTCTGTCAAAAGATAATGGAAACAAATCCAGGTAGTATTGCCACATTCATGACAAATGAGGACTCCAGCTTCCACAAGCTCTTTGTCTCGTTTCATGCATCAATATCTGGTTTTCAGCAAGGCTGTCGGCCTCTTATTTTCCTTGACAGCACTCTTCTGTACTCAAAGTATCAAGGCACATTGTTGGCTGCAACATCTGCAGATGAGAATGATAGTGTCTTTCTAGTAGCCTTTGTTGTTGTTGATGAAGAGACTGATGAAAATTGGCATTGGTTTCTGTCAGAACTCAAGTCTGCTGTCTCAACATCCAGGCAAATCACATTTATTGCTGATTCCCAGAAAGGAATAAGAGAGTCATTACGCCATATATTTGGTGAAGCCTGCTATCATGGTTATTGTCTATGCTATCTGGCTGAGAAACTGAATAGAGATTTGAAGGGGCAATTTTCACATGAAGCAAGAGGATTTGTCTGCTGCTGCCTATGCACCAAAACTTGAGGCAAGGCATTTGAATGCTGTGCAGAAAACATAAAGGCCATCTACTTCTTGTATGCTTCATTTCACCTTCCTTTTTCGGTGACTCCTTTGGAGCCTCTTTAGCCACTTCTTTCTTAAAGAGCTTGTTCCCCAAAATGGCTTCTTCCAGCTTCGATTTCAAATCATTCAAAGCCTTTTTCTCAAACTTTTTGAGATCATAAGGGAAATTACTTTCTTCCCTATAAGAAGAACTCTTCTCAACCATCTTCCCTTCTTTGCATACATCACCATCAATCACATCCTTCACTTGCTACACTTTCTCCATCTCCTTTTCTTCCTTCAAAACCTCTTCCTTTGTAGCAACCACTTCAGCCACCGCCTGAGTTGCCTCTGATTTCCCCTCAAAAGTCATGGGAACAATGCCTAAAATGAACGCAAAAACACCAAAAAAAAAATCAACAAAATCGTTCAATAAATTAATCAATTACAAACCAAATACGTAAATTAAAGAAAGCCCAACTCACTTTTACTTCTGATTTTGTTGAATTTCTATCACAAACTCTCCTCTTGCTTCTCCAATCTCCACTGCTGGTTCTTCTTTGGCCCTCTGAAAAGTTGAGAGAAGGAAATCAAGAATGGTTTGAGAGGAAGGGGAAGAGGGAGGGGGGAATTTTACACAGTGATTTGCCATTTTTACCCTTTAAAAATTGGGCATTGCACGTGGACCCAGTGAGCTCCGGCCAAAATTTGTTCGGAAAAGTGAAAAGGACTAAATGTGATCATTTTTTGTTTGTTAGGGATTAAAACTGATCATTTTTGTTCTGAAGGACTAAATTTTCACATTTGTGATATGTGAGGGATGATTGGTGCAGTTTTCCCTATATAGTATAAGTTGTTGCGTTTTGAGACGACAGAGAGGTTAGAAGCACAGAAAACCAACAAGTTGTGGTAGATGTTTGTTTAAGTTCTCAACTTCGGAGATGGCCGTCTGTCAATCCCCCTCCTCAATTCAATCATGCTAGTTGGCTTTTTAGTTTTTCAATAATTTTAAACTTACAAAAACATTTTAGTCCTGTTTGAATTGCCATTTTCTGTCAGAAAATTGCGTCGTTTTTCGTGATCACATTTCTCTATTATCTTTTTTTCTCACATACATCAAATCGTTACAATAATTTTTTAATGAAAAATGACGGAAAAATGCAATCCAGACGGGGATTCACCAAAAGCATAATTAGTAGCAAGTATTTAAGTTTAATAACTTCTAAGTATAATTTTTTTTTCGTTTGTTTGTTGGTGTAAAAATAATAATAATAATAGCTTGAGACTTCTAGTAACTTCCATATTGATTCTAATAAAAATATCTTATCCCACTTCATTATAATTATTACTATTAATTAATATAATAAGATGGAAAAGACGGGGACCAGGTGTCAAAACACCGGAGGACGCTTTGGACATGAGCAGAGGCCAACTTTGACGGGGGTGGCCGAGTCCATCTGACCCAATATTGTGCGTCGTGCCGCATAACGCGTCCCGCAGTCCTATATAAGACGCCAGCTTTGCAGCCCTAATGAAACCTGAAAAGCAAAGCCCTTTCGCTTCATAATACAACAGAGAGACAGAAGGAGGGGAGGTTAAAAAAAAACGTTCATAAGACGCTGCTGCAGGAGTTCTATTCCCATCCCCAAGTAAAACTTTCTGCAGCAGCTCTTTCATCCATCCAATTATTAATTAATATATATAATCGGGTATAATTTTCCGTCCTCTTCGTATCCATCCAAACAAACAATAATGGCACGCTCCTTCCCCAACGCAAAGCTCATCTCAGCTTTCGTTGCCCAAAGGATCTCTGTCGCTGCAAGCAGGTATGCGTTTTTGTTCTTTTTTTTTTTTGTTCCTTTCTATTTCTGTCGTTCCCAGATATTTATATATTGTTTTCAGCTTCTCGTGGGCGATTTAATCATGTAGGGGTGTAATAAATAAAAAATACGTGTCAATAAAATTATGCAGGCGGGGATATGCAGCAGGTGCATCACAGGGAGCGGTGCCTGGTAGCATGAGAGGAGGAAGCAACGCGAACATGATGCGGAAGAAAGGAGGGGAAGAGTCGAGCAGCAAGACCACCTCGTGGGTGCCGGACCCCGTGACCGGATATTACAGGCCTGAGACACACGCCGCCGAGATTGATGCTGCTGAGCTCCGCAACATGCTCTTGAAGCACAAGAATTGAAAAAGAAACCCACAAAATGGGGGAGGCTCTCAACTCCCAACAGTTTCTTGGTAAAGACGTGGAGGGATCAGTTTTCGCCTTCTTTAGTTCTGGTCCAAGACTAGTGCCTTTTTTATTTTTATTTTTATTTTTATTTTTATTTTTTGGGGGAGTGGTTTTTCTTGTTAACCTCATTTCGTTTGATGAAACGTTGGAATTGTCAATTGTGGTGCTACTGCTACAACCAATATACATCTCCCTTAGGCCTCATGTGTAACGACTGGTGGGGTTAGCACCGAGTAATTCATGCGGGTCATATTCATTTTAGCTTTTTAGCCTCTCTTACCTTCTCTCTCTCTTTTGCTCTTTCTTTCTGGAATATATGTATATACATCAGTGCCGGTTATTGCCAACCATATGTGCTCCTGTTAGTTACCAACCTACATAATGTTAATCTGGATATGATCAACAAAAAATAGTTTGTTTAGTTGGAAAGGACTTCCAGGATCCAAAAAAAAATTCGAAAATAAATGATTTTCTTTTGAAGGAAAATTGCTAAATAAGGAAACCAGCATATTTGTTTTGGGTATGAATTACCGGAAATTTTTAGTATTTGGAAAAATGTTCATGGTGCTCGCCGGTTCTGAAAGTTCAAACTGTTTGGTCAGGATGATGTTGAATACACGCGCTCAGATTTCATGCGATCACCATGAGTTTTTTTTTGCTTTTTTGGGGGTTCCTTTGTAGGAGCATTTTCTCAACAAGCCGCCATGCACGATAGACAATCCTCGCCGGAGAATCTTTTTATTTTAACGTTTTTTGATTTCTACGACCCGGCTGTATGCCAGCAAAAATTAGCTAGTAAAAATGCGCCTCAATAAACAAGGTTATCTTTTCTGGAGCGAGTAGCACCATACATGATGGACAATTGATCCCCTTGGGACAAAATCAAAAGGGGCTTCCCTTTCTTTCATCACAGATCAGTGTATTTGATTAGTGGAATTCGGGAAGGGAACCTTCATGGTAAAGTTCCACAAGCAGCAAAAACAATGAACACATTCTGACCACCTCTTGCCACAGAGCTTAAGGATTGATAAGTGGCGAGGCCACCAGGAACGGCTCCTTTCGGGAGAGCCAAAAGAGAGAAAGTTGGCACGGGGAGTGCTCAAGAATCAACATTATTCTTGATGCATGTGATAATCGACCAAAGCAATTAGGTGGTTACCCATTATTCTTTGTTTCTGTCAAATGTGTTATTTTTGCATGTGTGTGTGTTGAATCTGACAGGCAGTTTGAGACTTGGGATCATTAACCAGAGCCTAATTTACAGTATATGCTTTAACTACTAACCAATTGATCCTTCCAATTAAACCAAAAGCCACAGGAACCGCAACTCGTCTTCCCCCGGATGCTGAAAAGGTTCATCCTGTTTTCACGAATCACAGATACTGCGCACTCAAGTTCATCCACATTCCTTTAGAGATGACCTGCCCAAAATATATTCGACAACTATTTAGAAGGACTTCAACCAAACTGTGCAACCCAATTTCACAACACAATCACATCAAGTTCCTCAACGCATAAATACACACTTCTGCTGTGTTTCTCTCTAATCAAGTAGACAGACAAGCAACATCACTCACCTAAGACTTGGAAATCCCAATGCTTCAGCTAGTACATGCACATGCACATTTGCTATATTCGTACATAAAGAACACTTGTTGAGATAAAAAGAGGATTCCTCTGCAGTTCAACCTACATAGGCCATCATATCCAAATGCAATGCAACTTTTGACACAAGGCACTGTTGTTGTCTACAATAGCAGTTGCAAGCTTCTTCTTTTGCAAGCTTACCATGAACAAAGCTGTTGCTTTGGAAGAAAAAAATATTTACTTCTCCAAAACAATTGATCCAAGCAAGGAGCTACAATAATGTTATTAAAATATGTCGCAGCAGATTGATGAAAAATTTGGTCCACAAACCAACAAGCGTGGCATAATTCAGATTTGTTGATCTACCAATGAAGTTAAACATCTGAAAATAACCTTCTTAGAAACTGAACCAAAAAATAAGATCAGTCTTTGCCATCTATCTTTTTTGTCACAAAATATGAAAAAAAAAAAACTATCTTTAAACTGACCTTTTGGCCTGAAAATGTCTTTTCTTTCACTCTAAATGAACAATTCAAGGAAATAAAAGGTGTCTCTCATGATCCCTTTCTGCTAGTCTCCATAATGAAACTCCAAAGAGAACTATCACTAAGCAAATGCGGCACCCTCGTTTCGTTTACCTCGCTATAAGCAAGCACCAGCTGATAGCAGTCTATCTCCCTAACTAGTCTCTCCAAGTATAGCACTTAGTCTATGGATTTTGAGCATGGATGTGAAACCAAGGATGCCATTTAGAAGTCCATTTTGGATGAAAGGAAAGCCCTCAGGATTAAAAAGCCCCAAGCCCTAATCCTGAAAGTAAAATACATGAAAATAGCTTAGCTTCCTTAACTATCTTCTCGATCGTTTAATTTCTCCTGCCCATGGTGAAAACTAAGCATAAAACTGTGTTCTGGCTTTCAGCATTTTAAATTCCAAACGTGAAGACTTTAAACAAGATACAGACCAGAAGCAGTAAATGTTCCCAATAGAACAAGCGAACGCTCCACATTGCAAATATCATCAACGTAAAGAGTTCCTGTGTTGTCCAAAATTTCACAATAAACTAAGCGAGAGATCAATTTTCAATGGTTGCAGGCAGCAGAACATAAATCAGCCACTTTTAGTTCATAGCAAAGGGTCTTACCAGCAATTGACATGCATTCAACATCTAAAACTAATCTCACAAAGCGAATTCGGGATAGGAGCAATAAACCGCCAAGAACAAAGAAGAGAACTAGCTCCAGATGGAAGGAAATCAAGAAGCCAGCTTAGGCTGAACCCAAATTGGTACAATATGATATTGAACAGCTGACAACAGCAGTATCTCCAATAAGAGGAAAAGGAAGTGAAAACAGGGGAATTATTTTATTTTTTTTTATTTAAAAAAACAGCCTAAATCCAGAACTAACCTCCCAAGTGGTCGTGGTGGTGGTGGGTCCGAAAAGCTAAATTGAAGAAACAAAAGGACTCCTGAGAATCTTCCTGGTTTCCCCATCGCAATTCAATCCGCACCCACACTGCGGAATAAGATCGAAATTATCAACTGGGAAATCTGCGGAGGCAATCCCAACGGAAAACTGAAGGTCATCGCCGTTCCGAGTAACCTCCAAAATGTTGAGCCAGATAAAGAAAACCTTGACGCTAACGCCGGTGAGCCTTGAGAGCTTGTCCTTGGATATGTAACCACTGACCTTGGAATTATACTTCAATTGATACGAACCCTCCAACGAAAAGCTGCAAGACTTGTTAAAGTTAGCATTGAATTTACCGGTTTGCTCATCCAGATCATAGCCGGTGGCGCCTTTAGGGAGGAGGCCCACGGGAAAGTCATAGGATTGGAGGATTTCGTAGGCGCTGGACGCACCGTGGCTTGCGGCGGAGACCAGCAGCGGTGGGTTATCGTATACCGTCAAGGAAGAAAGGAAAATGACAACTAGGAGAATCGAACAGTTCATTGGGCGAACTTTTGACATGATCAGTTTGCAGTAGGTGGAGAGCGGCGTTGCGGATGATTTGTTTCAAGAATGTTTATAATTTTTTTTTTTACGCGAGTAATGGGTATGAATTCAACAAGACAATGCTTGAATTGCGCTGGGTTGGGGAGATTTTTTTTTGGTGGTGGGGGGGGGGGGGGAGAGATTTTTACATCTGCAGCTTTTAGCTTGCAACCAAACGTAGGCAGGAATAATTAATTAATTGTCTGTGGGAACCAGAACGTAAGTAAGTTGGATTAATTATTATTGGGGACCCGGAGACCGAAGCTGTTAAGGTTCTACAACAGAACAGTTGTATCCAGTGCAGCAGACTAATACTAATAAGAATAACCAAATCAAAATTCTTAATTTAGCTGAAAATAGTACTAATAAGTCTCTCTCTCTCTCTCTCTCTCTCTCTCTCTCTCTCTATTAAAACTTCTTCTTTCTTATCCCCTACCCCCAAAATTGTAATAACCTCAAAGTAGTAATAATTTGTGGGCCAAAATTAGACTTGCCAAAAATCCAATTTGACACCCCTAATCCTAACACCTGACTCATTGAGACAGCCACGCGTCATCTCCAGAGTTCTGCTAGGCCGCCTATGGTAACTGATCCTACCCAGCGTCTGCATCTTCCGTGTCATTAGACCATCGGCACTTCTATTGGATGAATGAAAGTATTTGATCGTTTTATCCCCAAAAAAAAAGTCTTGGGAATGAAAAACAGCTTTCGCACGTGTTTGTGGTTGTGCACAGACCCAACTACCTATCATACGTGTTCTACTAGAACTACTGTTTCGCCTAAAAACCAATAAAATCTACTTACAGAGAATTATCAAAAATACAACATCTAAAACATATTTTAACAAATGTATAACCATCTGATCTGTTAGACAAACTATTTAAAAAAAATAAAAAAAATTACTCATTAGTATTCGAACCTGAACATAACAGTGCAGCTTTTGCCCTTGATTGCCATAAACAGGACGTAACCAATCCGGACCTTTCCTTTACAAGGACAAAATGAAGAATCGGAAACTCCAAAATAAATATGATTGGGTGCAGGATTTCTTCAACGAACATACAAGTACACAGCTACATAGATTCGTATTTTGCAGAATAAAGCGCATAAAATGGATAAGTCTACGAAATGGGAAATCTGAAAACAGTGCCCCTTATTTCTGGATGATCCTTCAGCATTAAAAAGAGAACCATCACCTCCAGGTTACAGCTAATACGGTACATAATTTTTAAGCGGAAGCTCACCGGTGCTGTTCAAGAAGGATAGAAAAGGCGCCTCCAATTAAACTTGGAGCCGCTTCCGTACATTCCGATTCCGTCCCCAACGGCGTTGACGCAGTCAAATCCACAGCCACACTGGGGACTCTCATAAAAGTTGTCCACATGAAAATCAGCAGAAGCGATCCCAACGGAGAAGTCCAGCTCGTCTCCGTCCAGGGTCACCTCTCCAATGCTCAGCCAAAAGAAGAGGACCTTGACTTGGACACCGCTCAAGTCCGTGAGACGTTGATAGGATATGACCCCCGTTACTTTTGACTTGTACCTGATATTGTAGCCATCTATGGTGAAGCTGCAAGTCTCGTCCAAGTAGACGGTAAACTTGCCGGTGCTCCTGTCCAGTTCATAGCTAGTCACCCCCTCCGGTAGAATACCCACAGGGAACCCGTACTCTTGCAACACTTGGTACACTGTTGGAGTAGTACCGTCGTCGCTCATCGCCGGCGAACTTGACAAGAGTGCTAGGGAGACGAAGAAGATGCACAACGTCGTCGTCGTGGTTCTTGAATCCATGGTCATTAGACGCTACCTGCTGTGTTTAGCGATCAAGTGGTGGGAATTAGTTCCGAGATTTGGTCGATTTTGGCTAATAGATCCTGTGAAATAGACTGCAAGAAACTGATCCGGTTTCCTTCTTATATCCCTAGTCTTACCTGTACTGCTGCCGCTGCTACTGCTATTGTATTCTCACGGGAAACTAGGAGGTGCTAGAGTGAAACGCTTCTTGGCTAAAGTCGGGGATACGAGTCCTGTAGTCCAGCCGCGTGATCAGTACGTGGGTCAAAAAATGGGACTTTGTTGAACGGGAAAAGCAAACGGTATTCAAGTCCGTGACGGATGTATCGACATTCAATAATGATTTCAACCACTCACATTCCAGGGAACGGGGCAGGAGCGGTCACCAGAATGACCGCTCCTGAGCGGTTAACGGTCATGATTTGATCTCAATAAATTGTGCGATTCAGATAATAAGTTGTGCATCGATTTTCATATTATGTGTGAGATTTATAAAATTTTGTACTAAAATTACAAGTTGTGCAAAATAAAATTACGTCCTGTGCAACCAAAGTTACTCACGGTTGAAAATGGTCAAAATCGTTGGTGAGTGCAATCGTCCGTGCCCCTTGTCCCACATTCCAGGTGACTTTGAGTGTGTTTGGATTGCAAATTTATTTCAAATAATATTACGCTTGTATCATAAACACATTTTTCACCTACCTTTTTATATTCTCAACTACTTTTTATCTCACATACATCAAATCACAAAAAATGCTTCAATAATTATTCCAAATAATATTTCAGATAATACTCTATCCAAACACACTTTTTGATATTTACCACTATTTTCTCACTTGTCTTTCTCACGTAATTGCAATGGCATGTCAATCAGGAAATAATTTCAGAAACATCTTTCTAACAATTTAGATTATCTCCTCTAAAGTTTAAAAAATTACATTAACCTCTCTTATTATTATTACTAAATGACTACACTGACCTTCACAAAATCTACTAATCATATGAAAATGGAGTTAAAAAAAAAACAAAAAAAAAAAATCCTTTCCCACTAAAACCTCTTTATTTAAAAAGCTCATGTCTCATTTCACCTACGACAATATCTAAAAACTCTCATCTTGTTTCCTCTGATTGGATTTCTTGTTCAATTATGCAAAAAAGCCGATCAGCCAATAAGGATACATTTGTTCTAACTTAAAATTCTTCTATCACTAAAGTTGTTATAGAAATCATGTAAGGATAATATAGGATATTCATTGCATCCTTTGTGCATATATTACCAATTGTTATCAAGACACGGCATATGAAGAAGGTTTCTATAATTTTTCAAACTTCATAGAAGGTAACTATAACTGTGAAAAACTTTAAGGCACGTTTATGAAATTATCCCATTAATCAATTCCTACTTATCATTTATCAAGCCATTCAAGAACAACCACCATTCTTTTTTTTTTCCTTTTTTTTTTTTTTGTGGATAGGTGCTTGTCTAATCCTACACTTACTCCTAGTCCTACTTTAACTTATACTAAGGGGAGGACCTAATTGGACAATTGAAAAATCGACAAAGATTAAACTACAATCGGATCAGACGGATGCACTACACACTAAAGGGAGGACCGCACCATTCTATTATGTCTTGTGACTACATTGCCCCGTCAATGGTACAAACTTTTTTTTTTTGAGGCAATTGGACAGGAAACTTAGGTAGAGGATCCATTTCGGATTCAAACTGTAGTGGATTTGTTTGGATAAAGTATTATTTGAAATTATTACTATAGCACTTTTTTTTGATGTGATGTATGTGAAATAAAAAGATAGTTAAAAATATACTAAGATGAGCTGAAAAAATATGTTTATGATGCAAGCCAAATATTATTTAGAATAATTTGCTATCCAAACACTCTTAAAATTATCACTTGCTAGTAACAACATCACCAATGCGTGTTGCAGTGCAAGTTGAGATATCCTATTTTTTTTTAATTAATTGACAATATCTATACGCTATGTATACTTTAACCTAAAGGAGTGTCCAACTAGATCAGGAAGCTAAAGAGAGAAAAATCCACCTCTAAATAAAAAAGGTACACTAATGCACATGAGCAGGTGCAAAGATCTATAAAACCTTAGAACTGCAAATTCCCTATTACATTCTATGCTATGCATGTTGGTCAAATGCTCTCAAATATTCACACATTCTTTTTAGTTCCATTTCTAACGTTTTCCACTAAAAGTAGCTCATAGAGTCAGTAGTATTACACATTTTTTTTTTCAAAAAAAATATAATTCGGACTAGTCATACTTAGCTTTGTCCTTTACCCCGTTATTTATCTATTTATTTATTTTTTACTTCCGAGAGAAAATAATAATGACGGATAACTAATAAGCTCAAAATTTTCGATTAAAAAAAGGCTAAAAAATTAAAAACATCGTGAAACACATTGGTCAGTGCATTTTTATCGAAAAAAACCTGCGAGGTGCTGTCCTAACTCAGGAAATGAATATTTAGGATTGATTGTCGTTGGGTCCCGTTCTCAAGTGTCAGACTGAACTTCAACGGACGCAATCTGGACTCCCTGGGCTTGGGCTTGGGCTTGGGCTTGGGCTTGGGCTTGGGTTTCAAGTTCCACCACCGGTAATCCCACACAAGCCACAAATTGCACAGTCGCCGATATTTTTAACAAAGTGATGGACTGTATAGAATATACAGGATGCCCGCCCCGGCGCGGCAACAAATACTCATTACCTATTTGCTTTCATTGCAGACTCTTTTGCTAATTCAAATCCGAATGGACTGTAAAAAAGTGATGATTTAACTTTGAAGTGAAAATCTCCCCTAACAAGTCAGTAGTGTAAAGACGAAGACAGATACCAGTTATTTTTCCAATCACCACCACCTGTAACACATTTAAACCCACATCCACACCGGGGAGACACCTCAAAATCACGGACCGGAAACTTGGCGGAGGTGATACCAACCGAGAACTCAAGATCTTCCCCATTCCGTCTTACCTCCACTATCTTCAACGACAGCTTCAGCACTTCAACGCTAACACCTCTGAGTTTGGTGAGCCGATCCTTCGATATCACTCCGGATATGGTGGACTTGTACCTCAGCTTGTATAAATTCGTCAGCCAAAAGCTGCAGGTGCCATTTAGATGAGCCGAGAACTCACCGGTGTTGGGCTTCAAATCATAGCCGGTTGCACCCTGTGGAAGAAGACCCACAGGAAAGTCGTATTGCTCAAGAGCTTCGTAAGCCGAAGGCTTCTCCTTTCCAGAATAAGCACATAGGCAAAAGGGGCAGAGGCAGAGTAGGGTCAACCACGATGACATGGATTGGATACCTTTTGGCTTAAGAAAACTACTACCACCCCAATAATATTCTGCTCTCTTCATTTTTCTGGGCTTTTTCCCCGTAATGGACGGACGTTCAAAAGTAGTGCCTCATATAGAATTCGCGACAACTTCAACAGCTAATGCCTAGTTGGTATCTCCCGAAGTTTACAAAATTACATTAGTAAAGGTGAATGAAGGAAAAAGAAAGGTAAAATTTAAAAAATTTTCTACTCAAAATCATAAATATCATAGCAAACATCATGTCAAAAGAAATGAATAACCTATTTTGTTGAATATTGTGATAACTAGTATAATTTTATTGCTTATTTATGTTATGTAATTTATTATATGTGAACTTTTTGACTAATAAAATATGTGTATTAATTATTTTTATTTTTTTATTAATACAACTTATATACATGCATATTATGAAATTAAAATTCCATCTCTCTTCTCAAAGTATTTTTTTAATGTTATTTTTTCTAATTGAACTAATTTTGTTATCAAAACTTTAACTTTATGAGAGATTTGTATTACTTTACAAACTTCAGAGGAGGCTAGTGAAATTATTAAAAACCTTAGGGGAGGTATCTGAAATTATCCCTAACGCCTAATGGGGAATTTTGACCCCAAAAAAAAAATGCCAAATGGGGAAGGCTACAAATAATTGTCGCTATTGGTACACTATCATCTTAGCTGTCATGCACCTCCATCTGTCCACGTGCTGCTGTTTCTTTTTTTTTTTTTTGGGGTGTTTTTGTTTTTTGTTTTTTTTCGGGTGAGTTCTCCAAATAACAATTTAAAAATCCATTGATGTTAATACCCGCTAGACGACCAGTGCAAGCAATCAATAATGAAAGTTACAAACAGAACGAGTTCTTAAACCACTGAATGTTGCTGATACTTCCCCTTCAATTATCAGATGCCAATCAACATCCAGTTGAGCCAACAACCAGGGAACCTTTTTTTTTTCCGGCAACGATGACATTTCAACCAGGGACCTACCCAATTCAAGAAGACAAAAAATAGAAAGCAATGGGAATCTGGCGATTATTAGAGGGAATATTACAGAAAAAGCAGAGATCAACTGTAGTAGAATGGAGGATTAACAGGATATAATTTCCTCAAGACTCAATTTACATGTAAACCTTTTCTTTCCTGTACCTGTTCGGTTTTCAAGCAACGGAACATTATTGTATGAGTTCTAAAATAGACTTAAATCATCTATACGAATTCATATGTCCTATTTACAGAGTATTACTTCCCCAATCCTCGGGTATTAGCTTTTATGTTTTTGAGGTTTTAGAGATTCTAAAGCCAAAACAGAAGAGTAATCCCGAAAAACCATTATTATTTTTTGGGGGAAGGGTAGAAGGGGGGAGGGGGGGGCGTTGATTAATCTTTTGGTATGTTCTTCGTTCTAAAAGGAAGAGTAAAGTAAAGATAACAAAGAACAGCAACTGAACAGAAAGGGAAATCACCAAAAGGTTGGCATGAACATAGCCAGGTAAGGACATGATCCCACGGTTACAATGTCAAAATATAACGAATTGCAAAATCAAGTAAATAAAGCAAAGAAAAAATAATTTTTGGTTAAGTTGGACATAAACCAAGTCTGATAGAGCTACCTACGATCTTAAGAGACCAAGCAACATTCTAATCAGCAAACAGAAACAAGCTATTGGAGCTGCAAGAGAGTGTGATGAAGTACGTAACACCAAATTTCATGGGCAATTATGAAAATTTGAATAGAACGCGAGCCAACATACTATGATTAAGCTAATTCCAACTAGTGTAAAGTAACTGGCGAGCCAATGGAAGAATTACCAGCAAATAAGCACGTATAGAGAATGAATAAATTTAATTCACATCTTTCAGTCGTTTTATCAATGCATCTAGAGATTTCTTCTTCGTATTCTGCTTCGCTCCCCTTGTTCCAAATGACCCAAACAGCCTGTCGGATTGATCCCTTAACTTCTCTGAAATGGCCACTACTTTCCGGTAGTCCAAAGCATTATAACTTCTCTCTCGGATAACTGGATTTAAGAAGTTCTCAGGATGATTGCTCAAGAGCAAGTTAATCAATTGCCTTGACTCAACAAGTGCTGTTTTCAACTCATTTGCATCTGCATCAGACAAAAGTGTAGCTTGGTTCTCAGCAAATGATTCCAACATCCGGACATCCACATCAAGTCCCATAATAGCGTTTACGTTAAATCTCTTAACTGATTCCCCAAGTAAAGCTCCAACGATCATCTCAGATATGTGAGAAAGAACATCTTGCAGAACCCTCTTAAGAACCTCAACCGGCAAAATCTGCTGAGCAGTAGAGACGAGAGTTTCTAGAAATATAATCACCTCATTCGCATATTCATTACCACCCTGTAGAGTATCATCGGCCATCCAGTTCACATTCTCAATTAGAGTCAAAAATCCATCGACCTTCTGCTTAAGCAACCCAGAGAGCATCTCCTCAGCTGCATCACGAGCTTTCGTTAGAGGAAACTGCTTCCTGCCCCTTTCGGCCATTCTTAAAGGAATTCCTGAAAGTTGTGCAGCATGGCAAAAAAAGAAGTCACAAGCACGCTCAAATACAGCCATATTCGCTGCCATCTGCATTGCCTGAGTAACCCCGTTAACTGAAGTATTAATGATCTTCAATAAAGCCCCATCCAGAACTTCAGCCAAGAGCCTATCCAAATACTTCTTCACCACATCATAGAACTCGAGCTGTCCGCCATACGACATGAAACTCACCGAATCCTCAATGAATGACCGCACAATTCTACAGCAATCAGGCACGGTGGAAGAAAATGGTGCAACATAAGGGAATGCGGGCATAAGATTAGAAGTTTGCAACTGAAACGAGAGAACGTTCATGGAATATTCATACTCTTTCTTCATATACATCTGCTCAAGCTTATCCGCGGCAAGAGCCTCGGCAATCTGCTTACGACAATCAGACAACAAGAGCTCATGATACTTATCCCTGTGCTTGCTCAAAACATCAAGCAAAGCATCAGTAGGATACCCATATCTCCGCAACGTAACGCCAAGCAAACTCACATAATCCTTTATCAGTAGCAGATGATTTGCTGTCTGCATTCTAGAGAATTGATCCTCTAAAACGGAACACATTTTGCTCACAGCAGTATCCCACAAATTCTCAACCTCCATCTTCGAAATTAACCCCCCACCAGTCCTCAAAACTCTATCCTCAACTATAAAGAACCCGGCAATTTGAGCCAAAAAGGTTTGATGCGATTCGAGAAAAGGGGTCATTGAAGATACCTGAAAATCCGAAGTTAATTGAAGCTTCCGGTTTTCGAAATAATACTGCCTGAAACGATCCTCCAGCCCAAGAGTCTGGTGAATATGATGGGCTCGGTACAAGGGCATCAAATCAAATCCCAAAGCCCCTGCCCCACCGTTACCATAGCCTTCCCTGTTATTCTCGCAGAATCCGTCTAGCCCTTCATCATCTTCTTCCTCAAGCGCGTAAACGCAGTCCCGAAGACTCAGACGACTCTGCTCCTCGGCTTCCCTCTGCTTGATCCTGAGCTCCTCCTCTCTCTGCCTGGCAGCTGAGGCTTGCCCAATCGCCAGTTGACCCAGATTCCGACTCACTATTCGAATCTCCACCAGCCAGTCCCCGAACTCCTTGCTTACTTTCCTCTCTATATGAGCTCGAATCTCCGGGATCTGCTTCTCCAGCATGCGCCGGAGAGTAGACGACGGCATCTTTTTCAGAAACTCACGCTCAATCGAGTCCACGCACTTGAGGGCCATGTAGAAGTTGTTGTTGGAGAGATGAAAATTGGCTCGGGAGCAGAGCTCGACTAATTGAGCACAGGTCCGAAGAGATTCGATGGCGAGAGTGATGTTCTTGCATTTGTTGCGGGCCTCGACGAAGGAGTCCAGGGAGGTGAGCAAGGGGAGGGCGACGGACTGAAGCTGGGAGTTGGAAATGGAGAGAGAGGATTTGAGGGAATCGACGTCGGAGAGGAGGGAGCGGAGGTCGTCGACTGCCATGATGAAGTCTTGGTAGTGGGCCCTACAAACGTCCTCGATTTCGGACTCTTTGGATCGGGAGAAGTGTCGGAGGTGGTGAAGGAGGGTCTCGGGTTTACCGGAGGCGAAGGCCTTGCGGACGAAGGGGCCTAAGTCCTCGCCGTTGCAGATGGCAGCAGAGACGAGGAGCTGGTCTTGTTTGTCGGCGGAATCGCCGTTGTCAGTTGAAGCCGGAACTACTTTCCGGCGCATCTTGGACGAGTGCATGGGATGGGTTGGGGAGTTGGAACGGACAGTAAGTGCTAGAGCGACGGAGCCGCTGAAAATGGAGGGGATTTAGGAAGGAGGAAAATAAAACCCGCCAAAAAAAAAATAAAAAACGGAGTTGGGAGACTGCTGAAGAAGAAGAAGAAGAAGAAGAAGAAGATCGTGGGTTGGCGAAAAGTGGGGTGGTTAGGACTTAGGACATTGAGGAGGTCCGCTTGGAATTTTAGTCCCCTCCAGTAATCTTCTTAGGTATCTATTGACTAAAATGCCACTGGATGGATTGGGTTGGGTTGGGTTGGGTTGACGGGGTTTGTGCTTTGTTCTTCATCTCATCTCATAGTTAAAAAGATGCTCCAGGAAGTGTTACGTAAAAGGTAAGGAATTAAAAAAGGGCAGTCAGAATTTGAAGGAAGCATTTCGAGTTCTTTTCGTCATTTTCCTGCTCTCATTTCGCACGACTGTTTGAAGTCGAAGTATTAGTCAAAAATAAATCAGACGCCGTCCAAAAATATTTCCAATTGTCGACCCCCGGTGGCCAACTGCCTCGACGTACACAACGCAGCTACGGACTACATACCAATTTAAATTTCCAGAAGAAGATTCAGACGATCATTCTCATGGTCATTTCCAAACAACTAGTTTTATACAAAACATGACAGAGAACGCTTGACACTATGAATATGGAGAATAAAAATACAAACTAAAGAGAATAAGAGGGTTATGGACTGTGCAACGAGTTAGTTTAGAGGTATGGGTTATTAAACTATAAAGGGTAAAATACACTAAACCCCCTTGTGATTTGGGTTATTATCATAAAGCCTCCTCATTATTTGAAAATCCCCAAAGAACCCCCTCGTGGTTTGGATTAATTTGGGCAATGAACGGAAATCGTCCAATTTAACGGAAAATATGAAATTTCTATATTAACCTTGTTTCAACCTATACTAAAAGTTAGTTCAAGATTTACATAAGATTTTAGAAACTTTCTCACTCCATTTGAGAATAAAGAAACATCAAGTGGCTCATTTGAAAATTTCAAAAATTTGGAGCAGCTGCTGCAGAAGAACATCGAGGAAAAGAAATTGTTGATCCATTCAAGCGATTACCAGATGCAATAGTTTCCGTCATTCTTGACAAAGTTTTTGAAGCCAAATACCTCTGCA